TACATACATACATACATACATACATACATACAACAGGGAACCCCAGAAAAAATTGAAATATGTATCGTATGGCATAACTTTAAAACCACATAAAAATAAATGGCACAAAAAGAGACTTGACTGTATAAAAGGGAAAAACCAATCATTTATGTATTAAAAATAATTTTGTGTACTAACTTTTTAGAATTTCTTTTTATTTTGCCCAATTAAAATTTAGTTTCTTTTGAAATTTTCAAACCAGACTATAGTGAATCTGGACTGATCAAAGCCGGACTATGCGAGGTATTGCTGTATATAATAAGCAAGAAATTATTGTCACAGATGTGAATTTAATTCTTAAATTAAAGAATTATATATTTGTCTGTTAACAAGCAGAAGTACTTATTCTCTGCCCAGGATATGGTTGCTTTTCTCATCGATACCATGTTATATAGTAGCTAAAGCTTAAAAAAATAATGCTCAAATTAAAAAATTTAAGTACATGCAGTAATTAAGAAGAATAATTGGGAATGGAATTTTAATTTAATACAAAAACTCTATGGCAGTACTTGAACATTGCTTCAAAGCTGTGACTACATATGTACAGCTGATTATTGTGAACACACAGTCAAGTCATGGATTTCTCTTCACTGGCATTAACAGTGTTACAGCATTGCCTGCCCAGTGTTTTGTCATCACTTGCTAGAAAGAAACCTTGGCATTACACTCACCTGGTTTGCATGTTATGCAAAGTCCTTTTGAGTTGCGAATAGGATCCCCAGTTTCTGGATCTACTCGAATGATAGATATTGGGTAGACAGCAGGAAGGATTCGTGAAACAAAACCTATGGCACCAACCTTGTTGTCAATATTCACTAAAAGGAAAAAAATAAATGCACATATGGATATGAATATGAGAACATTTGGAAATTGAAGCCATGACATCATAGAAAATGACTAGAACATGTGGAACAAATGCCTCAGAATATCTACTATGGTAAGCACAGCTTCTGTAATATTATAAGAAGGCAAGACATAAGCTGCCCAAGGAAAATATGGAAAGGAAATTTTCAGTAGCTTGGAACTGGGTTTACACAAGTCTTTCTTGCATAAAAAGAATACTAGAGATATAGTTTTTGTGTATGTATTCTAAATATTTTTTATTTGATTCTATTTTTATACAAGGTCCAATTTTACTTACCAATATTTGCATTACCCTCTGTAGCCCCATAAAACTCAACTACATGTGGGATGTTAAAACGTTCTACAAACTGAGTCCAAATTTGAGGTTTTAATCCATTGCCATAAATCATTCGTAGTTTATGTTGTTTGTCCTCTGGTTTTGGAGGCACTGCTAGAATATAACGGCACATTTCCCCAATATATTGACCAACCTGCAAAATGATATTTAGATACTGTAATTAGACATTTCATACTACAAAAATTAATAAAACATATTAGCTTAATTTCAAGTAATAACTGTGTATCAATGTGCTTAAATTGTGCATATAGTGTATGAAAAACTGTTTCTGTTATTAATTTTAAGGTAACAGAATAAACATCATTTAGAATATAGTAATTTCTTGGTTATCTTGATGGTATGTGAAGAAAGAAGAGTATGTTTGTATCATTTTCACCACATTCCCCTACCAGTAAAGCATGTAAATGCTGTTAGTCCTCTTCTTGATATTTTCACTTAATTAGACAGTACAGTATGTATTCTGACAGCAGTAAATTGCTAGCCATGATAATAAATTCATATTTAATTTTTTGAAGTCAATACACCAAATGTAGCAGTTTACGCATCACTACCAGAAATTAAATAGACAATAAGGGGGTTCCTTTTCTAAATTTCTTCTGTTATTAATTTAATGCATAAAAATAATCTGTTTATTCATAAGAGAAAGGCCAAGAGTCATATACTAGCTAATGGTTGAAAATAAATTTCCAAACATTAGTAATAAATCGTTGAAAATGAATTTCCAAATGGTAGCAAAACACGGGCAGGAATAAATCTTAAATTCAGAGAGGCACTCAAAATTGAATCATGGTAAGGCATAATAGAAGGAATGTTACTATCAGTACTGACATACTATTGTCAGTGGTACAGAACCAACAATTTATTTTCATGCTTATAACAATTATCACCACAAAACAAAATTAATCATTCTGCCTCAAAGAATATTCATGCTTACTATAAAAAGAGAGTATTTTTCCAACTAATAATATCAGCATATCATATGCAATACACAGTTTACTCCAGGCTGGAATATGCCCTTTTATAGAAACTCCTTACCAATTTCAGTTTCAAATGAATGCTTCAAAGCAGGATATCATAAAATAAGTACCATCACCAGAAGATCTTACACAACCAAGTAATGTTTTTAGAACAGCTATCTAGAATCTAAGTGATATATTTTGATAATTTTAAAAGAAAATTTATTTGTGTAACAAGAAAAATCCAGTATTTTTTAATCTGCATAGAAAAGCATACCATGCAACATACCAGGTACACAGATAGCAAAAATAATAACATGCATATGAGTATGTATGAAACACAGAGAGCATCAGCACACAATTTTTCAATTTCTACATGAGTTTGGAAACATCAGAAATGAAGACAACATATTGAATATCATGATTAGATCACAGATAATCAGGTGCTAAAGTTTTCATTTTATGTATTCTAATAGGCATTTATGAATGTGAAATAATATATACAATATGTTTTCAAAATAGGTGTTCATCGTATAGCTGCAAGTTTGGATTATCAGTCACCTTCATGCTGGGTGAGGCTCAGAGACTGTCTGGATATGGTGAAGGGGCTCCAGCCAAAAACTGTACATGGACTCCCCAGTCACCCAGTCTGTTGCCTAGTCATACATTCTCAAATACCAGTCATTACAATTTAAATTGTAATTTCTCAAAAAATGCAGTAACTGGTTTGAATGAGCTCATAAGAAAGATGCAGCTTTTTTCAAAATATTGATACTTTACTGGAACTACCATTTATAAATATTACTCTGTGTTAATGTCCAAACTGGCATTATATGCACTCTAAAACTGCATTAGTTTAAAGGGTATCCTGAAATGTGATGCCATTTAGTGTGGTAGGATGGTACCGAACATTCTGCAGGACCTGCTGTCTCTGTCTTTGTCAGAAGATTGCATTAATTTAGTTAAGTGTGTGTATATAAATTATTACATTTTGGTATACATCTTCAGGAAAAGTACTGGCATTTATCTAAACATCCAGATCTAGTTATGATCACGGCACAGAGAACAATTATTTATCCATTCTGAATATCCACTTACTACAAGAAATATTACCACTTAATATTCAGAGTAACTGCAAACATTTCCCAGAATACCAAAGTAACTGCTGACAGAACCTCCACCTGGTAAGAAAACAATACAGTTGAAGCTAATAAAGAAACTCAAAAAAGAAAGAGAACAAAGTAAAGTGTTATTCATAAAGCAGTCCATGAACCACTGTAGACTGAGAGTAATTTAGTCTAGCAGATATTTCAGATGTTGGGGTACCGTGCATTCATATTTCTTGATGTCAGAAATATATGCTGAAGCAGAGAATTTCTTGCGAATGACAACACAACTGCCGAAGATAAGTGCCTGTCCAACAGACATAGCCCCTCCAGCTGTGTGGTAAAGGGGCAGGGCAACATAGAAACGATCATCTGTCCGGAACCAAGTCATCCAGGATATTGCTGCAGCCACAAATACAAAACTGCAACAGGAACCCGAAACTCAAAGGTAATTCCTCCTAAAAGGAGAATCTTTACTATTATGAAATCCTTGAGTTTTCAAAGTATGCTCTTTGATATGCAGCTTTAACAGCAGTAAAATTTTTAAGGTAGGTTAAGAGGCAATTGAACTCGCGTAATGCTTGCTACCATTCAGTCCAGAACCTTTTGTCTTCTCGTCTGTTGTCCATAAACATAAAATTTAGAATATACAAAACTATAATTTTGCCTATGGTTCTGTATGGGTGTGAAACTTGGTCTCTGACATTAAGGGAGGAACATAGACTGAAGGTGTTTGAGAAGAGGGTGTTGAGAATATTTTGACCAAAGAGAGATGAAATTACAGGAGGTTGGAGAAAACTGCATAATGAGGAGCTTGTACTCTTCTCCAGGTATAATTAGAATGATCAAGTCAAGGAGGATGAGGTGGACAGGTCATGTAACACAAATTGGGGAGACGAGGAATGTGTATAGGATATTGGTGGGAAAGCCAGAAGGAAAGAGACCACAGGGAAGACCAAGGCATAGGTGGGTGGACAATATTAAAATGGATCTTAGAGAGATAGGATGGGATGGATTGGATAGATCTGGCTCAGGATAGGGACCAGTGGAGGGCTCTTGTGAACACAGAAATGAACCTTCGGGTTCCATAAAATGCTGGGAAATTCTTGAGTAGCTGCAGAATTGGCGGCTCATCCAGAAGGGCTCAGCTCCATGAGTAAGTAAGTAAGTAAGTAAGTTACATTTCCTAGCATGACAGTAAAACTACCACAATCCCTCGAAGAGTATCTTTGACCTGAATGATTGATCTTGTCCCATTGTGTATGTAAAAAGTATACTTCACAGAAATGCTAATAATGCCTGTAGTCTCTATAGGAGAGACAGATGAAGTTCCCTGCATTTAATTAATTAATTAATTAAGCATCATGCCATGTAGGCATGAGTGGAGTTATAGGTGCACATATTCTTAACCTTGACACTAGATGGAGGTGGGTGATCAGCTTCACACACCAACCACTTTAAGCCAGGGATAGGGTCCCCCATACCCATTGCATAAGAGCTTTTTCTGTATAAATATACATATTTCTTGTGAGAAGCACTTTTAACCAAGTAACATGCTTAAAGTAAATGACTAGAAATGCTTGCAGACACACAAATGAGATGTATCTCTATACACAATACCCTACTGCAAGGAAAAATTCAGCCAAAAAAAAAATGGGCAGAACAACAGGTAAAGGCTTTCACTATTCAGAACTACAAATCTGACATGCCAAAAGCAAATTAACTGCCACTGTATCACGTAGCCTCACCGTGCAGTTGTGTTGCACACAGTCAGGAAAGTACTGTGAGGCTGAGAACTTTCGCCTGATGACCACAGTAATGCCTGACAAGATAGCTTGCCCTATACCCAGAGCAGCACCTGCAGAGTGGTATATTGGCAGGGGGCAGTACACTATATCGTCAGATTTCAGAGCTGGTACATGATAAACCCCAAGGCTCATGAAACAATAGCTGTAATAAAAATGGAAAATTCTGTCCTATATCCAGAGATCTGCTGAAAAAAATATAAATTATTTGCAAGTACTCTGAAATGGTGATTCCAAAAGGAGACATTTGACCTAGTGTTTTGGAGTCTCATGAGGGGAGGTGGTATTTGAAAAAAAGAAATTGGTAAAGAAGAAAATGCGTAATGAGGAAGACGGACTCTTCTGAAAGATGTGTTCTTAAGAGAAATGTTAATGATCAGTGCAGTACATATTTACACAAACAAAGCTTACACATTTTATGGCACCCTTTGGGGCAACAGACGATACAGAATCCAAAATTATGTTACGAGTATCACAAAAACACCTTTCTGCCCATATTTGACATTGTACAAGACTCTAAATTCAGGTGTTGCAATGAAATACAATTCATGAGAAGAATAACATAAAAACACTAAAAGTGTTGTGGCATCCTTATATCTCTTGACTGTGCTGTAACTACCAACATACAAAGACAATCTGGTTCATATTATTAACATGATATAGATCAGTATTTGTACAAGTGTCAGATCTATGTATATACAATCTGATATTTTACGTTATCTTAACCAACTGGAGAGTAAATAGTTGGTTGCAGTTTTGGAATAATCTTAAGTACAGACACAACTTCTGGATTATATTGCTGAAAATTTTTCCAGCAACCGGAGAGAATAATGTTCGTGATTTTGTATAGAGGAAACATTCTAAATTCTTGGAATTAATAGGTACCCCCTCCTCCCACATAGATATTATGATATGCCAACAAGAAAAATCCTTGATTTCTGGTCCAGTGTCAACAATGAAGGATGAGAACTTCAGTTAAATAATGTTTGAAATTACAGTCCTCAATTTTCCTGCACACTATGACTTCTTACCGTGAATGTGTAATGACTGCTGCTTTGGGTAAACCTGTTGTACCAGATGTGTAGATGTAAAGTAGACGGTCATGATATCCTACTTTCTCAATTACATCTGGTGGAGAAGATGGTACTTCATCTATCATAGTTGTGAGGTTCTTTTCTCCAAGCCCAACTGTTTCAGTGTTTGAGATGGGACTCCACCGATACAGTGTGATGTCAGATGGCAAACTGGACATGATATCCTTCACAGCTAAAAGACCAAAACAGAAGCTTTACAACAGTGCCTGTCAGAAGTAGAAATCCCACATATCCACTTAACTGTAATTATATAAATCTATAAGAATTATATATACACTTAGTGAATTTTCTATCTATATCCAGAAAACAGAATTTGGAAAAACCTGTAACTCATTTACTGTACAAAGTTAATCAACAAACAATAAATTGGCAGTGTGGTGTATGTGTGCTTATTCACTGAAATTTTCCAGACCTGTTTCAAGTGTGGTTTGAGGTACTGAGAGCATTATGGTTGCACCAGCCCATACTGAACTGCAAACAATTTAATCAGAAGCAGAGATGGAGTCATCCTCTAAAAAAGACATGTGTTTTGGATATGAGCAGAAGACCAGGTGGGCAAGGGCACAATAAAAGAATTTTCTTCTCTACAAAATCACTTTCATTCTCTTTATTTACAGGGCACTAAGTTTATACGCTCATTCTGTGATAGTTGCACAAGCCAAAAAAAGAATAGACATGTCATCCACACTTTTGTGCAATGGCTCAAAACAGAATCTCCTGAAAACATGTCTATCATTTTGATGGTTTTTCCATTGACAAACATCATAGCCATTTTCCAGCTGATTGGGTATCTGAGAGAACTAACAAGATATTATGCAACAAATGTCTCATTATTTCTAAGGGCAGTTTTGGGAGGTCTTGTTCATAATTTGGTCCAGTTAAATCCCTGGGTGAGGAGTGGAATTTTTTTGATATGAAAAATCTCTCTCCAAAACACACAAAATTCTGTGTGGTCAGTAATTGCAAGTGAATTGTCCCAAAGAAATATTTGGGTAAGAAGGAGATAATGATCAAGTTTGAAGCAATGGTACACTTGAAGACCAACTCTGAAAGAGTAACACAGATGTTTCAAAAATTGAAAGAGAAGTTACAAAATTAATAAAATGTGATGGGATCACAGAGATGTCGGTCACTTCCAACAACTTTTCTTCTGAAAGGAAAAGAAATGTGAAATATTTCTTGAGGAAGAAGTATGGAAAAAACTGGAATTATCTTGTGGAACTAAAATTATATGTTGGAATACTAAAGGATAATAGGAAGGAAGAAGCTGAAGAGGACCACACACTAGAGGATGCTGTTTGTGACTGCCAAGAAGACATAGTTCTTCACATATTATGTTGTACATATTAATTTTACAAAATATTACTTTTAAATTTGGAAACAAAATAAAATTCTTGTTCAACAAAACCAAGACATGTACGACAGTCATTCAAATAAATGTGTCGCAGTTGATGATTGAGAAGGAGATATGTCCAAATAATACGTTGTCATAGTTTCATAAATCACATCCAGCTGGAATACATAACCCTGAAAGAGTTCTCTAAGCTATGCATTTTAGCATCTTCTTTCTTCAATAAATATCTTAAATAATTCAATAAACACAGTTTGTTCCTTTTTCCTTAATATATGAATAGATATTTCAGGTTTCTGATGTTTGCTTCACATATATATTCATTTATATAACAGAATGTATGTTGCAATAGAAGGGATCCCAACTTCCCTTTAAATGCTGTATTCTTTCAAATTTCATAATCTGATTTTGTAATTCATTATATAATTTAATTCTTGTGTTCACTAGCATTTATCAAAAATATTAGTTTTGAAAAACTACAACTGAAGGTTCAAACTTTGCCCTTTATTGTGGTTATGAATTTATGCATTTTGTTCCACCTTCTCCATATATGTGTATATTTTTATGTAGCATGCCATTTCACTTATAAGTATATAAACCACTGGAAAAATATTTAGATCCTGAAACTGTGTCTCCAATTATTAAGCCATTGGGATGGAAAAGTTATGTGCTGCTTCACCAGTCTAGCTGAGATATGGAGATTTAGGCTGTAGCAAATGAATCTACAGCCTAGCAGATTATCAATAAAACTTATCCAGATAACTGCAGATGGTGGGAAGGTTTTTGCATTTATGCACACATTTCTGACATTCTGTAAAATGTTTACATTCACATAACGAAGTTCTTTTCCACACACAGAGTAAACTTGACACTTAAAGGCCTGGTCACATGTGCAAGGCATTTGTGAAATGTTAGAGGATAAAGTTCAGGTCTAGTACCAATTTTATCCAATTTTCCATTACTGAGCAATTAGTATTTTGATTATTTATCGCTGTATGTTATTGTCTATGATGCTGTGTAGTCTTGTTATTTAAAACGACAGTAAGCTGAATAACTGAAGTTTGATATTTTCAAAAGCATTCAGATCTCTCTTCCTCTCTCTCTTCACCCACTCAGTTTTATACAACATGATTTTGTGAAAATTACCTCTCATCTTTGTGTAATGACAGGTTAGGTTTTCATTTAATTTTACCTCTATGCCATCTGTAATCTTCAAAGCTGCATGGCTATGGATAGACACACATAAAAGTGGAGAACTATAAGGTTTATTTTGGACTCTATTCATCGTCTGGTATATATAAGATAAAAACCACAATGTTTTGGAGACTGGATCTGTCTCCCTCCTCAGGTGGATGGGGCAAGATAGACCTAGTCAGTTGGGCCCGTTAGAAAGAGCTAGTCTCAATCACTGGACAAGTGACAAGTTCTGTACAGCATACACCATCATCAGAATCCTTTATAAAGTCTATTCATACATATAAAAGTAGTTTTGTCGATCACTTTATATCATATGTCATACATATTTATGATTTTGCTCACATTCCCACAGTTAGCAGTGTTCCATTCCCATCACAGGAAGGAGCAGTTAATTGTTTATGAATAATTATGTACCTTCTGTAACCTCGCTGCTAAAGATTAGGGCTTGACAGTTTCCAATTGTTATTGAGTGAATAAGAGGGCGTTGACGTAGATTGTAATTTATAAGAGGTGTAATAATGCCAAGCTTCGATAATCCAAGCCATATGCACACAAATTCAGGTCGGTTTTCCATCATGAGGCCAACAGTATCACCTTTCCGGTAACCATGATTCTTGAACACATTGGCTACTTTATTGCTGTATTCTTCCACCTGGAAAAGAGAAATTGGCAGGTTACAGATATATGGCATTAACAGCAGGTCCAGGTTAAATAACACACTCCTAATTAAACTGCGTTAGTATTTCTGTTCAAACCCTATATGCATTATGCATTATGGTGAGCTATATGGAAATATTTTCTCCAGCAGAACTGAAGTTATTTGGCAAATTCTGTTTCTCCAGACAATGACTACAACTAATACAGAATGTCCAATTTGTGCAGGACAGCAAGTCACAATTAGTGATGTAATTTTAAGACATCCATAAAATGCTAATAGTTTTTGGTTCATTGTTAAGAAGCTATAAAATAATTAAAGGCAAGTGAAAAAGTAGGCTATGTTAGTTGTGACTTTCATGGGTTTTGAAAATGAATATATGTATATGGCATATGTGGTTCTGAATAAATTTTGGTCATTTAAACACCCCCTTTTAAGTCCAAATTACACTTCCATAGTACCTGTTCTATGGCAGTTATGTGCATGGAGAAACTTGGTTTGGTTAATAATGATATTCTAGAAGCTGCTTCTTGCAGTTGGCTATTCATTTCTACTGAAATGCATTGTGTGTTATAAGGTATGTGAATTATAAGAGGTGTAGTGTAGTATCTAGGTCATTTTATGATTTCAATATTGTATATCATTCTGTATGTGAAGTATGGAAACAGTGAAGAAATTTGGTTTGATATGAAAAATGAGTTTTAACTGAAGATGCAGCAATTACTAACGAAAATGTTAGTGTAAACAGTGCTTCTAATGGAGGAACAAATTGTAAAAGGCACATTCTGCAGAAGGAATTACAAATTACATGCTAACATCCACATTCTTCCAAATATATCTAATGTGAGAAAGGGAAGTGATATTCTGTAATTCTGAAGGTGAACTATTAAAGATAAATTGAATAATTAAGACTACAATGAAATCTTCCCTCAGAGTAAATTAACGTCACATGCAACTATTCTGGCATTTGCTGGATTTTCAGTGGAAGCCCGATTTGTACTATCAGTTATGTAAAGTCTGTAGCACTACGTTAAGATAATTAGACAAACCTCATTCAAACCCGGCCTAAGCGCAAGCATTTTTCTCTGTGATCTTTGCTGAAACAACTGACATATTTATTTCCGTGTTTGCTGACAATACAGAATAAAATACTTCAAAAGCAGGATGATCAGCTACATTTTAATTAAATATATACTTATATAGATATAGATGTTTAAATATTATTGCTTGAGACTCTGAGACTAAGCCTGTAATTGCGCGTTTGAAGCATACACAAGCTGAGAAACGCAAGCAGAGTTTTGCCCTTGCATAATTACATGAAAGCCTTTATGGCTTACAGAGAAAGGTATTGGTTCATTTTTCTCTACATCTTGTGTTCGAAACATAGTTTGTTCCGACAAATATTTACACTTTTTTTTCTAGACACGCATAGAAACGAGCGTAGATCTTTATCTAAAGTGTCCACTGACCGATATTAACCCAAACTGGAATCTTTTGATAAATTGTATTAAATTCACATAACAAATTTCATTAAAATCACAGCAGATCTCGAGTTCTTTCATACGTTAGAGGCGGATGGAACGAATTCAATAAAGGCTCCACATGGATATGAACATGCATAAAAACAATATTTTCGGTGACCCTATCTGTAGGTAGCAAGTCATATGGCGAAAATCATACCTTTCAGAAAATATATATTTATATTTTTTTGACCCTCATGACATAAGCCCATTTATTTAGTGTAGTTGAGTGAGTCCTATATTAGGTATTTATAATTGTTTGGTGCCATTTTTTAATATGATGAAGTCAGTTATACTGACAGTTATAAAAAATGACAGATTTTAAGCTTAAACCGTACTTTTCAGATATTAAGCAATGAACTTGTTTGTTTCGCTTTCATATGATACAGACTGCATTGCTTCTCTTCGTCCTGCTCCTCAAAACCTCCGGTCCTGTTGCCACAACTGCCAATTGACTCAGTTGTTTGCCAGATTACAGGTATAGTGCGTGGGGTTGTTTTGATGTTGGGGTAACAAGCTCCTATGCAGTTCTGCTTGCCACATGGTTTCACGATGGAATCTTGTTCGGCTTATTCTTCGATCATGAAAATGGAGGCGGTATGTTCTTCCGAAACGTCCGTTGACTTTCAACGGACTTAGTTACTTGCTTATGGAGCTGAGCCCTTCTTGAGGAGCCGCCAAATCTGCAGCTACTCAAGAATTTCTCAGCAGTTTATGAAACCCGAAGGTTAAAAACCGCTTTCATAAGAGCCATCCACTGGTCCCTATCCTGTACCAGATCAATCCAATCCGTACCATCCCATCCTATCTTTCTAAGATCCATTTTAATATTGTCCACCCACCTACGCCTTAGTCTTTCAACGGACTACATGACGTTATATCCCAGAAGATCTTCAAGCATGATAGATTTTTCAGGAAAATTTTGCATAAACGCAGGTTTTTATATGAAGGGTAAGCCGGGATGGTGCAGTCGGTATAACGACTAGATACTGGCTAGACGACCGAGGGGTAGGAGTTCGAGTCCCAGCGGGGTCAATAATTTTCACTTCTCCACGTCGTCCAGACCGGCTTTGGGGTCCACCCAGCCTCCTATCCAGTGGGTACTTGGGTCTCTTTCCCCGGGGGTAAGACGGCAGAGGCGTGAAGCTGACCATTCACCTCCAACTAGTGCCGAGGTCATGAAAACATGGGTCTATACAACCACTCCCCTCTACGCCTTCATGGCGTAGTGCTTACTTAGTCAAGTACAGGGACAGCTTTACCTTACTGATATGAAGGAGTTGTATCAAAGAGTTCATTAAACCCGATTATCAATCCGAAACCCGTCTATAATCACTCAAACACGTGATAGTATAATTTTTAGTCTAATACTGGATTCAACTTTCCATAGTATGGTCATTATACACACACTAGACTGATTCAACTGTAAAAAATGAAGATTTGTTCCTAAGAATGAGGGAGGAAAATGCATTAAGAAGTTGTATCTTGAAGGTTGTTTTCAAGCTGTCACGCCATCCTAGTCCCCTTAAAGCAGTGGTTCTCAACCTCTGTGAGACCGCGGCCCGGTAAATTCTTTTTTTCTATAAGACGAGAACCCGGTATAATTGAAGCTAGGGCCCGGCGGTTGAGAAGCACTGCCTTAAAAAATCCCTGAACATTATAATGTAACGTGTATAGTCCAAGTCCAAGTCACATTGCGGCTGATGTTCAGTCAGTAAGTCTTGGTGTCGAGCCCCTTCTGGGGATCATGACCAGATATTTTTTACTGTTGAACGTTAGGATTTTGTTTTTTGTGGGGCGTCCTCTCTGACGAGAGGGCGGGTCTGTCTTTTTTACGTGCTACTGGCCTTGCCAGCGCAGTCTTTCTCGGGTCCGAGTCCCTTGGAACTCGCGACCCTATTTTACTGTCTCAGATTTGAGACTTCCCTTTTCGTCGCCTCCTACGACTCGCAGGGTCACGGTGGAGGTAATCGACCCCGCCTCCACAGGGTGTAACGTATATACATAAGCAACGGAGCGTTAAACGCAACTTCGCCTGAGGTCACGCAACAATAGGACGAATGTTTATAGCTCGTTTCTAGACAACAATCAGCGACCCAATGGACTGGCGATATATCTATCACGTGACTTGTTTTCAAGGCTGTCTGCGCCATGCAACAATAGAGGGGCTGTGTTTTCTGTGCTTGGTCCGTGCCGAGAGGATATGAGAGAAAGCGGGAATGGGAACTGACTTCACTTGAGTTCCGAAGTTCCAAGGGAAGAGCAGTGTGGCCACAAGAAGAATTAGAAGACTTAGTGTGTGACGTTACATGTGCTATAGTTACAGTAAGCTTGTAGTTATGACTAGTAATGATCTAATAAATCCAATTACCAATCCAAACCCGCGTCTTACTCACTGAAAAACATGAGAGTACTCGTATGTTTTATTTTACTCTACTGTGGCTTCATAATTTCGGGCAACTCTGACTATCTTGCTACGTTACTGAGCTTACTGAAATCTTAACCAGCTGAAGTTTTTCTTAGGGCCACGAGCTCGTAGTTACTTTCCACGTCTGACAGCTGTCCTTAATCACTGACGGCCATGACGCATCCTTTGTAAAAACATGTACTTGCGTTAAACGTAGTACGTAATACTGCCGATATTTCTTACAGCTGCAGCTTGTTTGAGTGATATTTAACTAAGTTGCTCTGTGGTCTAGGGTTCAGAGGACCTGCCCACAGATCCAGATCTAACACATTGCACGACTGCATATCCCAGAAGACCACAATATGGACCTTTGTCGCCGTGAAAATATCTCAGATGTGAAAGTTCGTGTAAGTCTGTAACAATTGCATATTGATATACGTGGTTAGTGTCTATACCGGGCAACGAGATTAGACCGACTTCAAGTCTAAAATTCAGAATCAAATAATCCCAGTTTTTCAGCTACACAGTTTTCTGGCATAAACTAAACGTTTCTTTACAATGTAGGACCTGACGTTCTCATAGCGAAGGTTATGAGCTACAACGCCGTGTGATCCTTTGAAAGGGCCCCCTCTGTGGTCTAGTGGTCAGAGTTCCTGGCTACAGATCCAGAGGTCTGGGTTCGATTCCCGACGATACCAGATTTTCTGAGAAATAGTGGGTCTGGAACGTGGTTGACTCAGCCTCGTGAGGATACTTGAGGAGATATTTCAAGGAAATAGCGGCTCCGGTCTAGAAAACCGAAATTAACGTCCGTGGGGATTCGTTGCGCTGATCACGCAACACCCTCTATCCGCTAAAGCTGGTACTAATTTTTTTTAATTCGCTTAGTGGGGGTGGGGGTGGAGTTCAACTGGGTCTACTCGATACGGCGGCCACTGATTGGCCTATTGTAGCCTTCCCCGGGTGATTATGATGATGGAGAATTTGGTGGAATGAAGATTGGCTGGGGAAACCGAAGTACCATTTTGTGCACCACAAATCCCACTTGACCAGACCCCGGGATCGAACCCGGGCCGCCGCGGTGGGAAGCCAGCGACTAACCGCTTGAGCTATGGCGCGGCCAAGTTGGCACTAGTTCGTTTGCGGTCTCAAGCCACGGAGTTTGTTTTTGTTTTAATATAACAGCGATGGCGGGAGAAAGGAAAGGGAAGAGACATGCAGATATGACGGATAAATAAAGGAGGTGGGAAATGAATGTGCGAGGTAGGATGCTAAGGAGGGAAAGGGGATAAAGGAAAGAAGATGGGGTTAAGGATGATGGTACGATGTTACAGCTAGGCATGCCTTAAAAGTTATGGCCAGATAATTGGATATAGCTAATGAGAATTCCGTGTTTTGCAGCGGGCATTATGCTAGCACTAAGTAAAATGTTCGATTCAGTTTGTAATGTTTTCTTACCTGTGCAAATGTCCACTCTTTGTCTTCAAAAATGAAGCACACTTTATTGGGGTGTTTTGCCACTCGTTGTCGGAAAATATCAGCTATGTTGAGATTCTTTCTTTGATGGGAACGTACTTGTATCAGCAGCCCTATGTATCTACATACTGCCCTAGAAGAGAGAGAAATTTTGAATGTGTCATCCCTTACAGACAATGGTTAACATTAATTAAGTATGCTTGATAATGTGAGTTCTGTTTTTCAAGACCTACAAATTTCGTTTCTTCCAAGAATGATTAGTATTGTGTTTCCTAGGAAGAGGCGTAGATTCTTTTACACGGAAATTTCATGTTACATATTTTTTTTTCTGTGGCGCTACAGCCCCAATTTGGGCCTAGGCCTACCTCCATGAAACTCTCCGTTTCACTTCGGTTTACTAGATCTTACACNTGCTTAATTAACTAAGCACTACGCCATGAAGGCTTATTGGGGAGGAGATATATAAATGGCTACTGGCTGGACGACAGAGGAGTCGGAGTTCGAGTCCCGATGGGGCAAAATATTTTCACTTCTCCACGTCGTCCAGACCGATTCTGGGGCTCACCCAACCTCCTATCCAATGGGTACGTGGGCCCTTTCTCTGGGAGTAAAGCGGCCGGGTAGTGAAGCTGACCACTCACCTCCAGCTAGAGCCAAGGTCAAGAAAATGTGGATCTCTATGTTAGGATGGAAAGTATTTAAGTAATAAACTGGAGCTTAACGATGTAGAATTGTAGGATGAGGACTGGTTTCATCCGGCTCAGGACAGGAGTCAGTAGCGGGCTGTTGTGATCACCGCAGTCAACTGTGCATTTTCCGAGCCTCTTGTTATTAACCACAGAAGTGCCAGCCTTCATTCTTATGGCGCCAACCCGCCATGTTATTCTCTCAGAGCTGCTGTTGACTGAGTACTTCAGAATATTTCTTGAATGTAGTTAATGCATTATTCAAAGAAATTTAACGCGCTGTCTGGTAAAAAATACTCCGAAAAAAGTCAAAATTCTGGACCATGATAGACGTCTGTTTTAGGCCGAAATTTCCGATACTTGGAATTTATAGGATCAAAGATTTACGTTCAATTACGTCATTTCCCTGCAAGTTTATTTCAATATTAATGCTGAAGTGAAACTGTTTATCCATTCTGTGGGACTTAAAACCGGTTGTGGATAACAATACATTACGTATTGTAATACCTCTGACGCAGCTATGTAATGCAACAGCCAGAAAGACATCCACAAACAGTTCGAAGAACCAGCAAAAACGGTTGATCTAATGTTCCTTGAAAATTACATGGCAGATACAAAAAGCAATCTTTATCTGGCATGTAATAATATGTACAATATCACAAGGTGAGATTCAGACTGTGCTCAAATTGCACAGGGTGATTCAAAATGTACTATTCGGCATCTCCTTTGTCCTGGTTTATCCGTTACACAAATGCTCTTTTTAGATACACTATTAAAATTTATAAGGTCTGAAGCCAAGCAAACGGTGGAATTACGTGTTCGAATCTCGCCTATGACATGGGTGCTTCAGGGTATCCTCTTATCACCACCAGTAACCCTACATAATTCCAGACTTTTTTTTTTGTCATTTCATGCATCCTGTTGTGTTACAATAGACAACCTCTTTATTACAACCGTCACAACACAACAAATATCAAGATCATTGCCTAGTTTCGGCTCTGCTACATGTTTCGGCTATTAATTGCCATCATCAGGAAAATACATGGCCAACACATATACACCACCGAAAAGCAGTACTAGTAAAATTGGATACAATACATTAATTATATAAAATACTTGACGTAAAAATACAACAAATTAAATTACATAAAACAGAAGTTATAGTATAAAACAAGAATAAAATTCTTTGATCGATGTTTTAGATCATCGAGTCAGTTGTTGGTTTTTGTAATTTTGTTGCGTTCCCACGGACAAATTGGAATAATTTATATTTTGTGTATATAAAATTGTATGTGTGGCTTGTGATGTTGATGTAGTAAATTAATATTAATTATTTAGTCGGTGCCTCATCTTACAAAGTATTGTCCATTCTGTAGGGAATGTAAACAACGTTGTTTAATATGTTGGGATTTTGGACTTCATCCATCGTCCTGGTTTTTAAGATAACAAATAAAAACACGACGTTTCGGAAACTGGATCTGTTTCCGTCCTCAGGTGAAGGAAAAACCTATTCAGTTGGGTCCCTTAGAAAGAGCTAGCCTCCATCACTGGACACATCTTAAAAACCAGGACGATGGATGAAGTCCAAAATCCAACATATCAGTGTATTATACACCATCGTCAGAATCCTATAGTAACGTTGTTTAACATTAACATAATAAATAATTATTTATAACTTTGGGCTAGGCACAATATAATCATTAAGCATGAGGGCAATTTTTACATTTAAAGTGATATTAAGTTTTTCCTCGTGTGTGGAATAAATTTCCTGATCCACGCGTAAATGCTGTATGGGCATTTAGGCGAAAAGCACTTAAAAATCGGTACTTCCCTTCCAAATGAGTATAAAAGTTTTATTATCCGACCTAACAGTGTAGAAACTTAAGATCTTTGCACTTGTAAACGCAGTTTGAAGCTGTTTCCGTTAGTCATTTCACTGAAGGACTAACAAAGAAAGAGACGGGCATGAAAACAAGTAGATGATAAATGTTACATTAGTGTTGTATTATGGTAAACAGAGCTCTGAAATATGGAAATCAGCTAGTCCGTTGAAGCAGTTACATACAGCCTTCAAAACGTAAATCATGTACGAGTAACTATAATGAAAACTTTGATTTCTTTTGCTTTACTTTTGCACTTAAATCTCAAAAACTAAAAATTGTATAAAAGTAAATCAAATGGAATACCATCAGGAAATGTATGCATGTAAGATTCAAGATTGTCAAGATGTTGAGAATTGAATTACGATCTTCTGAGATACTGAAGTGTAGTCTGGCAGAGGTACCAAAATTTCGGATTGGGGGAGGGGGGGAGGCTATCTGCCATACTACGCAATATGACATCCCAGAAGACTGTATCTGCGTTCAAGGCTTCGTATATATGGGCATGTTTGGGCCCAGAACTTTTCAGAGTTTGATTTTATGGTCGGTTACATGATTTAGAGATAATGGTGGGTTCCTTAAAGGATATAATGTTGGTAGAGTTCAAAAAGTCCATGGACCTTTCACTGACCTCCGAACGACAATTTGGATCTATTTGTGTGAGCTAATTCAAGAAAGGGCCGCGCCATAGCTCAAGCGGTTAGTCGCTGGCTTCCCACAGCGGCGGCCCGGGTTCGATCCCGGGTCTGGTCAAGTGGGATTTGTGATGGACAAAGTGGCGCTGGGGCAGGTTTTCTCCGAGTACTTCGGTTTCCTCTGCCAATCTTCATTCCACCAATTGCTCCACAATCACCCTCACCTATCATCTGGGGCTGGTACAATAGGCCAGAAGTTGCCGCAGTACAAGGGACTCAGTCCCACCCCACTAGCAATACAAAAATAATTCCAGAAAAATGTAACCGAACGTAAACAAAACCTTGTATGGTTACGGCCTGATATCTGTGACCGCATTTGAGGGGTGTGTTGTGACTTGAGGGGGAAGAAGGGTGGGCAGGTAAGCAGTCTGATTCATTGCGTAGTCATTGGCGTCACTGGTTTAAGAAAACATCTTTCGTGGGTGCGGTCAAGTTGACTTTCTGTTTCACATTCAGTACAAATGTACATTATATCAATAGAAGTACATCTGCTGGACATTTGTGCGTGTGTGAATGAACATTATAGATCAGTATAGTGTGTGTAATTTGTATAGTGTACCAGCCTGTATTGTGTGTAATGGTCAACCGAAAAACGAACACAGCTCTGCATGATGAAGGTAAGGAAATAACAGAAAATATTATAGAGAACTGTGATGATGATTAAGCACCGCCTTTGTGGTCTAGTGGTCAGAGTATCTGCCTACAGATCCAGAGGCCCGGGTTTGGATTCCTGGCGCTACCAAATTTTCTGAGAAGTAGCTCCGGTCTAGATAACCGAGATTAACGGCCGTGTGGATCCGTTGTGCTGCCCACATGACACCCTCTATCCGCAAAAGTTGGTACTATTTTTTTTATTGTTAGTGGAGTGGGACTAAGTCCCTTGTACTGCGGCCACTTCTGGCCTATTGTACCAGCCCCAGATGATAGGTGAGGGTGATTGTGGAGCAGTTGGTGGAATGAAGATTGGCAGAGGAAACCGAAGTACTCGGAGAAAACCTGGCCCAGCGCCACTTTGTCCACCACAAATCCCACTTGGCCAGACCAGGGATCGAACCCGGACCGCAGCGGTGGGAAGCAAGCGACTATAAACAATAGGTTTCTCTCCAATCCACAACGTCCAGAACGGCCCTGGAGCACACCCAGCCTCCTATTCAATGGGTACCAGGGCTCTTTCCCAGGAATAAAGTAGCTGGGGCGTGAAGCTAACAGCTCACCACCATCTAGTGCCGAGGTCAAGACTTGTTGAGCTATGCCACCACTCCCCCGTAACTCTTCATGACGTTGTGTTCAATTAATTAATTAATTAAGCACAGAGACAAGTTTAATTTGCCGCGTAGCCTTGTTAGGTTAGGAAGGTCATGTCGAGGTTATATTTACTTTGCAGCTTACAGCAAAGAGAAAAATGTTCCTTTTTGGCGGTTTAGCAATAAAAGTTGCACAAATGAGCCCCCCCTTGCTTCACTTTGTCTGCGTGTAGCAACTCGAAAGCCCCTAAATGGATTTTCGTTAAGTTAGTACTGCAAAGTTTTGAGAGCCGGGATAGCGCAGTCGGTATAGCGACTGGTTACAGACTGGACGACTGAGGGGTCGGAGTTCGAGTCCCGGTAGGGTCAAGAGTTTTCTCTTCTTCACGTAATCCAGACCGGCTCTTGGGTCCACTTAATCTCCTATTCAGTGGGTACCGGGGCTCTTTCACCGGGGATAAAGCGGCCGGGGCGTGACGCTGACCATTCAACTCCAGCTAGTGCCGAGGTGAAAAAACTATGCCTTACCTTTAGCGCAAACTTTTGAAAAGACTGTCGATAAGTACTAATTTTTAGTAACGTCGGAATAAAATATGGTCCTCTATATGAAGACCCACGTGCATGAATC